CTCCTCCTCCTCCTCCTCCTCCTCCTCCTCCTCCGCCTTTATCCCGCCCGCCCCTTCCTCTCGCCCCCTCTCGCCCGCGGCCGCGGGCGAGAGAAGCCTTCCTCCTCCTGGCAAGCATTGTTGAGCACGCCGACTCCCGTTCTCGTCCCTCCGACTCCGTCTCCTACCACCACGGCCCCAGTTCCCCTACTTCCTGACTGCGGCGCCTATCCTTCCGACTCCTGCGGTCGTCTCTCCGACTCTGGCTCCTACCCCCAGGACTCGGGTTCCCCTATCTCTCCGACTCTTGCGCCCAATTTGCTCTGCCTCCTGCGATCGTCTCTGCGACTCTGGCTCCTATCCCCGCGACTCATTTCTTCCGACCCCTGCTCCTATTTGCTCCGACTCTTGCGATCGTCTTTCCGACCCCACGATTTTGTTCTTCCTATTGTCCGATTCCTCCGCCTATCTTTCCGATGTTTGCGATCGTCTCCCCGATTTTGGCTCTTGTTCCTACCGTCACGCACGCACCTGCTGCTGCTGTCCATGCGACCCGCTGTGTCTGTAAAGCTTTGATTCCGAAACTATAGCTCCATGGAGTGGATTTGCGGTTCTTGCCAGCTGGGTTTTCTTGTTTGTGCGACTTTGCTTAGCTTCGACCGAAAGAGGCTCGCTCTCGACCCGCGGATCAAAAAACTGTTTGTGCGACTCCTGGGGCTTGGGGGCTCGCTGCGTTGAGGGGGAAACAACATATCACAACACTGGCGCAGTTCGAGCACTTGTGGTCGACACACGCACGACGACAGCGACTCCGATTCTTGCGCACAACGCGTCCCCACAGGGCTCCGAGCCCCCCGGCGCCGCCCTCGCAGGGCCCCGACATCATGCGCGCCTCGCCTCGCCTTCCTCCCTCCATGCCCCTCGGTGGCAAACCATGGGAGCCTGGTATACCCTCTTGATTCCGTCGTCAGCGTCGACTAGCGTCGATTAGCGTTTGGAGTCGGTGAGATAGCGCCGATCTAGCGTCGGCCAGCGTCGATTAGCGCCGATTCGGCGTCCCGAGCAGCGTCGATTTAGCGTCGATTCGCAAGAGCCGACAAGATGGCATGGGAGGCTCCCGTGAAATGCCACCGAACTTCCCTCGAAGAAGAAGAAGAAGGATAAGCTGCACAAACACGATTTCCCGGAGGCCGGAGCAGACTTCTTGGATCGGCGCTGGGCCCGCCTGGCGTCGCTCCCCCTGGCGCGCTCCCTCGCGCCAGGCAGGGGCGTCCAGCGCCGATCCAAAAGACCCGCGCGGACCGCAAAGAAGTTATGTTTACCCCGGGGCCCGCAATGGTGCCCACCCGTCTGCTCATCCGTGATTGTCATGGCCGGGCCGCCGTCACGCGTCACGCCAGGCTTCCTCGCTGGGCGGCGCCCCCACCAAGGCGATGATGCTGTGGTGATTCGAAAAGCCGTCCTCCCCTGAGATCCTGGCGTCCCAGTTTTCTCGCGCTTGGCGGGCTCGCTCGCGTTCGGGCCCTGGGCACCCTCACAGATCGATCCGGCGCGAGTTAGGGTGCAGAACGAGGTGGCCTGGGGCTCTGGCCAAGGTTTTTCATCGATGTTTATTTTTTCCGCTACCTCAGATCTCAGGGCCCGTCCCTCCTTCTCCCCTCCCTGTCGCTGCGGCAATGATTTGGTGGTGCCAGAGTTGCATCGGGAATGCCTTGGATAGAATCCGAGGGGGCAGTCGTTGGCAGAGAACGCCGCCACTATTCAGGTCAACCCCGCAACGCTTCGCGATGGAGGGGCCCGGGCACTTGGCGGACTGGCTCTATCAAAGCCGCTGTCGCGGCGTAGTTTTCTACATGTTCGGCCTCCCGGGGCCGTTTTCGGGCCCTGGGGGGCAATCACAAGTGGTCCCAGCACGAGAAAATGCCCCCACGGCCGATGGGAAGTAATTGGTTCTGCCATCAGGGGCTCCTGTGCCAAGGCGGCTGAAAAGTTTACACCCCCAGGCTACCCATACGACCACCCTTTGGGTGATAAGGAGGTGAGGGGGGGGAGGGACCAACGTCGCACTCGATCGATCTCACTCTCGATATCACTATCGATCTCACTATCGATCTCACATTCGATCTCCCATTCGGTCTCACTATCGATTTCCTTATCGATCTCACATTCGGTCTCACTATCGATCTCACTATCCATATCACTATCGATCTCACAATCGATCTCACATTCGGTCTCACTATCGATCTCACTATCGATCTCACTATCGATCTCACAATCGATCTCACATTCGGTCTCACTATCGATCTCACTATCAATATCACTAACGATCTCACCATCGATCTCACATTCGGTCTCACTATCGATTTCACTATCGATCTCACATGCGGTCTCACTATCGATCTCACTATCGATATCACTATCGATCTCACTATCGATCTCACATTCGGTCTCACTATCGATCTCACTATCGATCTCACTATCGATCTCACAATCGATCTCACATTCGGTCTCACTATCGATCTCATTATCGATATCACAATCGATCTCACAATCGATCTCACTACCGATCTCACAATCGATCTCACAGTCAATCTCACTTTCGGTCTCACTATCGATCTCACAATCGATCTCACATTCGATCTCACAATCGATCTCACATTCGGTCTCACTATCGATATCACATTCGGTCTCTCTATCGATATCATCACCACCATCATCATCATCATCAGCACCATCATCATCATCATCATCATCATCATCAACATCATCAACATCATCATCATCGGGACACCGACGGGACACCGACGGGACACCGGCGGGACACCGGCGGGACACCGCGCGCCACCGGCCGCCCGGTGGAGAATCATTTGGTCCGGCCGCGCCTCAGCCACAGAGGACACCACCGGGACACCGGCGGGACACCGCGCGCCACCGGCCGCCCGGTGGAGAATCATTTGGTCCGGCCGCGCCTCAGCCACAGGAGACTTTCCTCTCGCCCGCCCACGCAGCTTCGCCTCGCCCGCACGCACGGCACGCACGAACACGAAACCGAAATCGATTTCCCGGTAGGGGGGCTCTCCGTTCCACTTCGATCTCACCCCCTCACCTTCGATCGTCGTCGTCGTCGTCGTCGTCGTCGTTGACGTCGCCGCCGTCGCCATCATTACCGACGTCGCCGCCTTCGCCACCGTCGCCGTCGCCGTCGTTGTTACTGGTGGCGTCGTCGTCGTCGTCGCCGCCGCCCTCGCAGTCGTCGCGGTCTGGCTAGAACGCTCTCACGGCAAAACAAATTATTGACCGTACGCACTATTATTCAGAGCTTCTCCTGATGTCACGCGGGCTGGAGGCCCGGGGGGGTTCTTTGCGGCGACCCTGGCGGGAGGAGGAGGAGGAGGAGGAGGAGGAGGAGGAGCAACCGCAGAAGCAGGGTGACGACGAGAAGGGGCATGAGGGGGAGGAACCGCGGAGAGTCCGAGAGGAGGAGGCAGCAGTTCGCCTCGACGACCAGCGGGGCACGTCCCGAGTAGCGCCAGGGGAGGGAGAGTCCCTCCAGCAGGCCCACGCACGAGAGCAGGCAGAAGGTGGAGACGGTTGCTGGAGACCGCGCCGACGCGACCTGCGCTCGCCAACCCGTCGTCGCCGGCGCCAGCGCCGCCGCCGCCGTCGTCGTTCGTCTTTCTTTGCCGCCGCGGTGCCTACTTTCTATCCGATCGTTCCGATTCGATATTGAGTTCGGCCGGCCCGAGCCGATTCGATTCCGACATTCCGACGATGCGATGCGGCCCGACGCTGGCACGGCGTCGTTCCCAATCTTGGCGTGGCCGATCCGATTCGGTATCGGCTCCGTGCCGATGCGGCCCGATCCGTCGCACATGATGATTCGATCGGGCTCCCCGATGCGATGTTGACTCATGCAGTGTTGCTGTCGCTTGTTGCCCAGGGACGACGTTTTCGCAACTTGGGTCCCCGAACCGAGATCTCGATCCCTTCCTCCAGAACCCCTTCTGAATCTTGGGTTGCTTGTTGGCGAGCGCAAGCAAACGGCCCCCAGTGGCCGAACATTGCGACAGACCGTGTGATCATATCGAGTCATCAGGAGGTCCGACTTTCGGGCCTCACAGTCGACTTCCCAGACTTCAGCAATCGGGAAGCGTTCTGACCAGAATCTCGAGGGAAATCCAGCCGCGGCGACGAGAACCTTCCCAGAGGTCCAACAAACATGAAAGACGATGAACCAACTTCGAGCATCGAGCCTCGATCCTCGGCCCCCGAATCTCAGTCCTCGACCCTCGATCCTCGACCCTGGGTTCTCGACGCTCGACCCCCGATCCTCCACCCTCCGCCCACGCCCCTCCACCATCGAGCCTCGATCCGCCACCCTCGACCTCCGACCCTCGACCTGGGCTGCAGTGGAACACCATGCCAAGGAGCACCCTGCTCGCCTCCGGGGTGCCCTGGACTTCTTGGGTTAGCTGGTTCTGCTGTGGAGCACACACACCAGATCAAGGGACGGCCTGGGGTCTCAGGGTTGGCTTCCTTGTGGGAGGCGTCCTGCGGCCGCGCCCGCACTGCAGCGGCGGCGCTGGCGACGGTGGCGGCGGGGCTGGCGACGGCTGCGGCTGCGGCGGCCGCCGCGCTGGCAGCCGGGGCGCGTCGAGCCGAGGCCCAGCGCGCCGCGGGCCGTGGCCGACCGCGGGCCGCCGCCCGGCGCGGCGGCTTCCTCTTCGCGGCCAGGCTCGCGGCCGGGCTCGCGGCCGGGCTCGCGGCCGGGCTCGGGCGACGTGGCCGGCGGCGCGCCGGACGGCTGCAGAGGCGCCGCCAGCGCCGCGGCCGCCAGCGTTCGAGTAGGGGATCGACTACAGAATGGATTTGCCCCAGAATTGATATGCCCCATCGAATCTACGACGAGTGCGTAGAAGTTTCGTACATCAACTGAGTTTTGCTCATCAGCGTAATTCTGGGGTGGATCAAATCTGCACTCGATGCCTTACTCGAAGCGTCGTTACCAGCCGTCGCCGCCGCTGTCGCCGCCGTCAGCTTCGTTGCTGCCGCCAGCGCTGGCGACGCCGTCGACGCCGTCGCCAGCGTCGCCGGCCCAGCCATCCAGCGTCCTGAGCACAGTCAAAACGGAGGTTCTTCCAGGATCTGTCGGCCTCGGGGGGGCCTCCGCCAGGCCACGGAACTGCCCAAAAAAGACTCGGGATGAAAAGCCGGCCATGGGCACAGGGTCTGGACTCCCAGGGGGGGTCTTATTGGAAAAGTCAAGGCGTCGGATGCTTGGGAGCGCTGCTGCCGCCGTCGCCGCCACCGTCGCCTCTGCAGATGCCGTCGCCGCTGTCGCATCCGTCGTCGTGGCCGCCGCCGTCGCCGACAGCGTTGTCGCCGCCACCGTCGCCGCCACCGTCGCCAGTGCCGCCGCTGTCGCCAGTCGCCGCCGCCGTCGCCGCCTCCGCTGCTGCCGCCAGCACCGCTGCTTGCAAGCCACAATTTGGAGGGTTGTGCTCCCTGTCTCCCCACTCTCCAGTGGACGTCGATTCAATGGGTTCTCTTGGGGACGGGTTAAGGAGCACGGATCCCCCAATTGTGGCTGGTCGGTGTCTCCGTTGTTGCCGCCTCCGCCGCCGTTGTCGTCGTCGCTGCCGCCGCCTACGACGACATCTTCGTTTCGGAGGTTGGGGGCATTCCTGGAGGGTCCCATCGCCATGGCTGGATGTCCGGGAGGGATCTGGCCACAAGTTTTCAGAGGTTTGGGTCGTCAATCGTCGCGGCCGCCGCCATCGTCTCGTCTTCCCCCTCTCGTTTTTCCTTGTTGTTCTCATCCTTCTCCGTCCTCCTCCACCTCTTTTTCCGATTGCGTATCCTCCTCCTCTTGTTTTTACGTATCCTGTTCAGTGTGGGAATCGGTTTGGCTAGCTCAGGGGCATATTTGTTGAAAGCCATCTTCTACTGGTCCTTCGCCTCCTCCTCTTCCTCCTCATCATCCTTTGTCTCGCGCGCGGGAGTCTGGAGGGTATCTGAGAGGGGAGCGGAGAGAGGTATGGGGGAACGGGAAGAAGACGGTGTGCGTGATTGGCCCAGGCGCTTCGGGCTTGTGCTACACGCATGCCAGGGAGGAGATGAAGGGGGAGGGGGAGAGGGAGGGAGGAGACCCGGACCTCTGTGCGTCGCGAAAGGCGTCACAACAAAACAAATTCAAATTAGCCTGGCGACAGACTCAACCCACAGCAGCTGTGAGTAGCGCAGGACATGACTGACCTTCTCATGGGCAATGCGCCGCGAAATGGGATAAACTGCTTCTGGCGCCGCGAGACGTTCGAGGGGTGGGCTCAAATTGTTGACGCCTCGAGTATCCCCACCAGCCCATCCAAAAGTAGACTCTCGGCGAGTTGCCCTGATCAGGGATGTGTGGCGTCCTGATTGAGCGGTTGCCTGTCGTTGCTTGTAGTGACTGTATTACGTCATGCGTGCCCGGGAATGTCTTGGTAGAGCGGTTGTTTGTGGTTGCTCTCCGTGCGTTTTTTGCTTTGGGCTCGCGAACACCGACGACGCGGGCGATGGTTATCTCGCAAGCGGGGGCACGACAGGCAACCACTCAACCAAGGTAGCCGCGGGAATTGCGGGACGACGGCGACGACGACGACGATGACGACGGCCACGACGGCGGCGACGACGACGACGATGACGACAGGAGTCAACACCAAGATTTTTGCGATATTTCGCTCTGGGAGCGTTTTGAGAGCCTTTGGGGGCCAAAGTGGGGCCCTTTGGGGGTGTTATTGGTGTCTGTGCTGAGTGTCGGGCATTAGTGCGTATCATTGACGTCTGTTTTCGGGGTGCGGTTTTCGTGTACTGTGTTGATGTGTGTCCTGGGTGCATGTTCTTGATGTTATGCGGCTCAGAGATGTAGTATTAGCGTATGTTCATTCCGTCTGATGTTGATGTCTGCGCCTTGTGGTTGTCATTGCTGTTTGCTCTTGAGGTGTGGCTTTGGCTCACGATGTTGCAGTATAGTGTTGGTGTATGGTGTTAGCTGGCGTTGTTCTTGAATGTTTCTGATGTGTGATAGTAAGATGTACTCTTGGTGTGTGCTCATGAGATGTAGTGGTGATGAACGTGCTGAGGCTATGTTACTATTGTATGTTACTGCTGTATGCTATTGTATGTTATTGCTGTATGTTATTGGTGCATCCTCTCTATCTGCCGTCCAAGTGATTGATACTGAAAGGTGTCCTTCGTGTACGTATCATACTGATGCTTTTGACGTGTGTCCATGATGAGTCGTATTGATTCTCGCTAGGGCTTCTGTGCGGGAGCCATCTTCATCCGTCTTCTACGCGCGTGCGAAGTTTCGCTGTGACTGTTCCCTCCCTCCCTCTTCTCATCTTTCGTCCCGCTCTCCTCCTCACCCTATGGTCGGTGCTTTTGCACTTCTGGCGTGGGCCAGGGTTTCAAACAGCCGATGCGCGTGACAGCCGTGTTTGGCAATGACGCTGCCCACTCTCCCTCATCGTCCCTTTGCCTCCTCCTCCTCTTCCCTCTTGTCCATTCCCAGCGCTGTGTGTAGGGGATATGGCCGTTGGGGCCGCGGGGGATATCCACATGCATGCAGAGCAACCGCAGTGCCGATGTGTTGTTCAGGCCATGGTTCATAGCATGAGGTTGCATATTGCAGGTCGGCTTGCGCGATGTACTCGCTTTGCGTAGCGACCTTTTGATTCGCGCTTTGGTAGTTTTACAAGTGATGTTTTGCGAGGCGAAAATGTATGAATGGTCGTGATGCGTGTGTCTAGTGTGTGGTATGCGTTTTGTACGTTCTATATCGAAGGGTTTCTTGATGTCTTATACTGAGATTTGTTATCGGTGGTTGGTACAGATGCACGTCATGTGTGTATGTGTTTGCTTTATGCGATGGCCGACTACTTGCTGTACGTAAGTGGGTACGTTATTGTCACGCCTGTGTATGGTGTGTTCATGAGTGTGTGCCATGTGTGTATGTCATTAATATACATTCAGAACTCATGATACTTATGTATGGTAATGACGTGTGCCTTAGATGTCTGCTCTAAATGTACGTGTGTGGAATGCATGTCTGCGTAACGGATGGACGGCTTTGGGCCGTGAAGCCCCGCTGGTGGGGCTCCACGATGCGGGATACGCAGCGTCATTCAAGGATTGTTTGTTCCTGGCGGCCGCGGCATGCAGGACTGACGAGGCGAGATCCCCAGGGACCACTCAGGATTCTTTGGGCCTCGCGGCCGCCGCGCTATGCAGGGCTGGCGAGGCGGGGTCCCCAGGGATCACTGCGGATTCGTTGGGCCTGGCGGCCGCAGCCTGCAGGTCCGGGGAGGCGGGATCCCCAGGACCACTCGAGATTCATTGGGCCTGGCGGCCGCAGTAGGTTGGGCGGGCTAGGCGGGTGCTTTTTGTTTTCCAGAAAATCGAACAGCCCAAACTTGTCGGGCCTCCATGGGCCCGCGCCGCGAACAGAAAAGCGCGACGCTGGCGACCCGGCGAACAATGGCGGAGGGAAGGGGGGAGAAACAGTAGGGATTCCAAGAATGAGAAGAAGAAGCAGCAGCAGAGGCAGCTGCGTCATTTTCCTGGGTCTGCGCTGAACACCTCCTGGCGGCGTCTCCAGCGCCGCCCCTGGCGTGCTCCGCGCGGGAGGTCCAGCGCCAGGACAGAAGCAGGAACGATGGTGGAGTGAAAATGGAATTCAGCAACTGAGCAAAGAGAGCCCCCCAGTCCTCAGAGAGTAGTCCAGAGGGAGGGGGCTCATGAGGGTTTATCCAGAAGTCTCCCTAGAGAGTTTGGTCTGGCCATGATTTCGGAGGGAATTCAGCCGCGGAGGACGAGAAGCCCCGCGGAGGCAAATACAATTGGGAAACGCGATGACAATAAACTCGAACCTCGAACATCCATCCTTCAATCCCTCCTCTCTTCTCCCCACCTCCTCCCCCTCCTCCTCCTCTTCTTCTCTTCCTCCTCCTCCTCCTCATCATCATCATCACCATCATCATCGTCATCATCAGCATCATTTTCATCATCAGCATCATCTTCATCATCTCAATCATCGTCATCATCTTCATCTTCATCTTCATTATTATTATCATCATGATCATCATCATCAGTACCATCATCATCACCATCATCATCGTCATCATCATCATCATCATCATCCTCAGCCTCCCGATGCCCGCCCTGATCCCGGAGACGCCGGCCAGGTGCAAAGCCTCGGCCGCTCTCCCTGGCCGGCGGCGAGATAAGGAGCCCAGCTTCGACCGGGATGGGGCGACAGAGCGGGCAGGCCAGGAGGGGCACGAGGAGCTGGAGGGAGACTCGAGCATCATGGCATCAGAAGGCTCCTGGGGCCAGCTGGTGTGCCCCCGTCCGGGGCCGAAGCCATTCTGAAGCAACGTCTTCAGACGTGACCGGCTTCCAGAAACGAGAAACGTCACGCGAGAAGCACCGAGAGCGCGCAGAATGTCTAGAAATCCAGGCTGTCGGCCCCAGTGACAACGTATGAGTTGCTCAACACAGGGGAACTCGAAGGGATCTACGGACACTTCGCGCAGTGCCCACGGCAAGGCTGTGGATATATCGAGCTGCAGCAAGTCCCGCCACCGTGCCAGTCCAGCAGCTTGCGTGGCGACTGTTCTGGGGGCGCGCTGGAGGCAACGACATGGCACCTCGGGCCCCGAGGCTTGGGAGAGCCGTCACATGTGACACACTCTTCCGCGTCGTGTCGGCGGTTCCCTTCTCGTCGTCGTCGTCTTCCTCCCCTTCTTCCGTCCTTTGTTGGGCTCCCGTGGGGCGGTCTTTGGGGGTCCCTCGGGCCACTCTAGGCCGTCCTGGGGCCCTCTTAGGCCGTCTTGGGGCTCTCCTGGGTCGTCTGGGGGTGGCCCTCTTTGCCGTCTGTGGGGCCTCCTGGGGCCGTCGTGGGATCGTCTTCGGGCCGTTTGGGGAGTCGAGACGCTCCCTCAGGCCGCTGCGGGTCCCTCCGGAAGCCTTCTTGGGCCAGCCTAGGGCTCCCTCTTTGTCTTCCTGGGCCGTCTGCAGACCTGCCTGGGCTGACTCAAGGCCGTCGTGGAGGATAAGAGTGCCATGTGGGGGCCCTCTCGGGCCCTCGTCGGGTCCATCTTGGAGGCTTTTAGGGCCGCCAGGAGCTGCAAGGAAGCCCCGAAAGGTGAGCAGGCCTAATTGGATGTGTATGTGTCAAACACCTTTCTGGACTACATGCGAGTTTGGCGTCTTCGGCCCCCGGGGATTCCCGTGTGACCCTCTTGGGTCGTTTCGGAAGCATATTGGGCAGTCTAGAGGTGGGTTCTTCTCATAAGCGCACTTGGCTTTTCTACCGTTTTATATTTTGGCCTCTTGACAAGCTAAACTCGGAAGCGACGTGACATGGTGTAATATGGTTGGGCGCGTTGTTTTAGCGTGTCCAGGCCCGTCGCTGTGGATCTTAGTGTGGTTTTCTGTTGTTTGTATTCTTGTCACAAGCCTGCTCCTTGTCTTCACTGCCGTCCCCGCTCCAGCTCTCCGGTTCCTGTCGCCTCCCGTCCTTCTCGCTCCGCGCGGAGAGCGCAGAGCTACAAACGCCCCACACGATGACCTGACACCAGTCTAGCAGCAGCGCGGAACAGGCTCAGAGGCCCCGCGACCAGCCAGCAGCAGCGACGACCAGAGAAACGCAAACTGGTTAGACTACACATATAATGAGGACTGGACGCAGGGAGAAGGACCTGAGGACGCTTCAGACGGCAATGTGAACCAGCTGATCTGAAAACGCTAAAAGTAAACATAATTCAAAACCCAGCACGGCACCAATTGTTCTTTGCGCTGTTGATATCGATCTCGTCGGGACCTAAGAACGCTAAATAATGGTTCCAACACGACGAGTCAAGACCAGTAAGAACAAAACGCCCAGGGCATATTCAAGAAGAACCAAGGTCGAGAGGCCATCTTGGGCCGCTTTAGGGCTATACTGGGGCGTCTTGGACGCATATTGAGCCATCTTGGCGACCTTGGTTGCCTGTCGCGGCCATCTTGGAAGCTCGTGAGCGCGGACCTATACTGTTTTGCATGGATCATTGCCTCAGTAGCGCGGGCTGTGGATTCGTGAGCGTGGAGCCAGCGACAGTTTTTGTTTAACCAGGGGCCGTGGCATCGGGAGCGCGGATCCGCCGCTTTCGGAAACGAAGTAACATGCCCTCCCGACGGGGGGCGATGCATGCAGAACTTTGCGACGAGAGATGGGGCCCGGTATCTGTCTTTCCCTTTCTCTGTTTTTCTCTCTCTCTCTCTCTCACTCTCTCTCTCTCCCTCTCTCTCCCCCCATCAATGTTTGTTCTCTCTCTCTCTCTATCTCTCTCTTTCCCTCGATGTACATAGACATACGTACATGCGTCATCTGTTTGCGTACATATATATATATGTATATATATATACGCATGTAGATATTGTACAGCAGTGTACCGTGCGTGCCCAGGCCCGTACACGATGGGCAGGGAACGCAACCAAACCAATAACCTAGATAATGTGCTCGAACCATGTGGCAACCGACGTGCGGCAGTCGACGTGCGTCACCGATGTGTTTGCGAGTGCGATGCGCAAGTATGCTGGACAAGCGTACCTGAGCACGAATGTGTTAGTGAGCGCGTTCAGCAGTTACGTTCAGGAAATATACGGCAACCCATATGACACCGCATTGGCTATGCAAATAAACCTTCATGTTTACATGCAAGGCGTGGGCAGTAACGACTACACTTGAAGTTATTGAATCACTGGAAGCATCACTGAAAAGTCGGACGGAGAGCCCCTCACCAGGAAATCGGTTTCGGTTTCGTGTTCGTGTCGTGCGTCCGGGCGAGGCGAAGCTGCGTGGGCGCGCGATGGGAATGATGCCGCCGTGGCTGGGGGCCGTGGAGCCGTTTGACCGCCCCGCCCTCTGGCGCGCGGTGGCCCGGGGTGCCCCGCCGGAGGTGCGGGGGTACCCCGTCGGTGGTGGGGGGGGTGCTCGGACGGTGGTGCGGGGATGCCCCGTCGGTGGTGCGGGGGTGCCCCGTTGGTGGCGGAGGGTGCCCCGTCGGTGGCGCGATGGTGAGATCGATAGTGAGATCGGTAGTGAGATCGATAGTGAGGTCAATGGTGAGATCGATAGTGAGTCAGATCTGCGGTGAAATCGATTGTGAGATTCAGAGTGAGACCGATTGTGAGATCGACACCCCGTCTGTGGCGGGGGGTGCCCTATCAGTGGCGCGATAGTGAGATCGATAGTGAGATCGATCGTGAGATCGATACTGAGGTCAATAGTGAGATCGATCGTGAGATCTGTGGTGAGATCGATTGTGAGATTGATAGTGAGGTCGCCTTTATTACAATCGCCATGTTGCGTTCTCACATTCAGCTCATCGTGCAACATCGCTGTCTCGTCGCCATCAAAGTCGTCGAGGTTGTCGTCAGTTAGTTTTCCCTACCCCCAATCCTCATCGCCCGAAAAGTCGTCGTATAGGTATTCTGTTTTGAGACGGCGACGTCACGATCTGCGTGAGGGGTGGACCGCTTTCAGCACGCCTGCGAAGTCCCACGCGAAGCGGTCAGAAAACGTGCACGCGGCGACAGCGATCATCGCCTATGAGCTCTACTCCCTCGGAGAAGTGCGTCTGATATTGAATTTGTTTGTGAGAATCCCCACGCGGTGCTTGCACTTAGGGATTCTCATTTCTTTTCTTAATTTGGAACTGGGCCTGGTTGTCAGTGGGGCCGGCTTGTGGCCGCCCCTCGCCACCGTCTTGGTTCACGATTTTGACTGTGCGAAGTTCGTATCTCGAATTGTTTTGCACTGGTTTGCGTTGCTTTTCATTTGGTTGCATCGCTTTGCATTGTATTACAGTGCTTCACATTGCCCTGTGTTGCATTTATTTGCTTTGCAATGCTTTGCATTGCTTTGCCTTGCTTTGCGTTGCAGTGCATTGATTTGTATCGCGTTGCACTCCTTTGCATCGCATTACAGTGCTTTGAATCGCATTGCATTGCTTTGCATTGCCTTGCATTGCTTCGCGTTGCTTTCCACAGGTTTGAATTGTGTTGCAGTTGCATTGCAATTAGATTGCATTATTATTCACTGCTTCGCACTGCCTTGCATAACTTTGCGTTGCTTTGCATTGCTTTGCGTTGCCATGCGCCACATAGATTGCGCCACATGCATTGCACCACCTAGTCTGCACCGAACTGATTGCACCACCTAGATTGCACCGCATATATTGTAGCAAAATCACTGTTTGGGGTCCACGCTGGCGAACATACTTATTATGTATGTGTTGTTACGACTACAAACGTAGGTGTTGTTCGGAAGTTGTGGTTTGAAGAGCAGCCGTATCATACGCTTGCCGCGGCCGACATTCATCAGCTTATGATCTCCTACACTCGACGACGTCGACGTCGACGGCAGCGGCAGCAGCGACGACGACGACTTTGACGACGACGACAATGACGACGACAACGATGACTACGACAGCGACGACGACGACGACGTTCTGCCGCGGCCGACACGCACCAGCTTATGATCCTTCACTCGTCGACGTCGACGTCGACGGCAGCGGCAGCGGCGACGACGACGACGACGACGACGACTACGACGACGACGACGTTCTGCCGCGGCCGACACGCACCAGCTTATGACCCTGCACTCGTCGCCGAACGCCTCGTGCAGAAGCGCAGCGGCCCGAGAGGCGCTGGGCGGAGGCACGGCGGCGCCTTCGGCTGCGAGTGCTCCGGGTCCTCCTCCTCCTTTTCCTCTTCCCTCTTCCTTCTTCCCTCTCCCTCCCCCCCTCCTCCTCCTCCTCCTCCTCTTCCGCCTCCTGGTCCTCCTCCTCACCTCTTCCTTCTACTCCACCTCCTGACCGAGGCCCCTGGGACATCCCTTGCTCGGAAGGCCTGTCGGCTCCAGTTCCACGGTCGAGGGGGGCTCCTGGCCTTCGAGGGGGATTTTCCAAATGCTTCGAGGGGAGGGGTTCTGGTGTCGCGCGGGTCCAGAGCCGAGTGAGTGTGTCGACGCCGCCTGCTGTGTGCAGCTCGCTCGTTCGCGCTCTTGGATGTGGCCTTCTGTTTTGCTTAGTGGCGCGCCGGGGCTTTGCGCACAGAAAACGTATCTCAGCGGATGCGCTGGGAATGTCGTGGCCCTCTGCGGCGCCATGGTGATCACAAGATCCTCGAACAGCGGCGCAGGCAACAAGTGGAGGGAGGGGCCCGCGAACAGCATCGTTCCGGTTAAGGAGTGGACAAGCGTGAAGCACGGTCGCACGCTTAGCTTCTGAAGTGAGCTCGTGACGAGTGCTGCTGCGTGTTAGTCTTCTCTCCCCTGGGTCCTAGCCCCCCTTGGGGTATGGTGAGTGCTCGCCCCGCGGAGGGCAGCTCAGAGCACTGGGGGTCGGGACGGTTCTGTGAGAGGTAGGAGGAGGGGCAGCAGCATGAGAGGGAGGATAAGGATTGCAGGAGGAGTGGGACGAGGGCAGGATGAAGGGGTGGGCGCAGGAGAAGGAGGAGGAGGAGGAGGAGGAGGAGGAGGAGGAGAAGGAAGAGGAGGAGGAGGAGGAGGAGGAGGAGGCGGAGGAGGCCTCCACCTGCTCCGCCGCACGCCTGGTCGCCGCCTTGTCCCGACCACAGTCGCCTCACACGCTCCCCCCACACACACAGAGAGAGAGAGAGAGACAGAGACAGAGACAGAGACAGAGACAGAGACAGAGACAGAGACAGAGACAGAGACAGAGACAGAGACAGAGAGAGAGAGAGAGACAGAGACAGAGACAGAGACAGAGACAGAGACAGAGACAGAGACAGAGACAGAGACAGAGAGAGAGAGACAGAGACAGAGACAGAGACAGAGACAGAGACAGAGACAGAGACAGAGACAGAGACAGAGACAGAGGCAGAGACAGAGACAGAGACAGAGGCAGAGGCAGACAGAGACAGAGACAGAGACACAGACAGACACACAGCGCCGCCTACTCCGCCGCAACTGCTGCCCCGCGCGCACCCAGGAGCACCGCAGCCCTCCTCCGCCTCCTTCGGACCGACCTCTTGGTTATGATGTTTCAACCTGCTGCAGCCTTGATCACCAGAAAGAGTTTCGAGCACCAAGGAAGCACCGAAACTGGAGGGATTTCACGTGTCGGGCCCCCCTGGGAGGCGATACTCGTTCGACACGGCTTTGGTACTTATCTGGGGGCTCGAAATTATTTCTGGGATGGGGTCCTTAAGTACGATGGGAACACCATGACCTCTTGACAGGATCTGCGGAGGCGGGCCCATATGCTCAAGGAGATGCGCGCCGAGGAGATGGGCCTCAGCTCTCCCCGGGGGGGCTGGGGCCCACGCTCGGGCCAAGCCTTCGCACCCGCACGGCGCTGGCGCAGACAGGCCCCCCCAGCCTCACGCCACCTCCCCTCCCTCGCTGCTTGGGGCGTGACCGTCCGTCGTTCCTGCGTCGACCTCTTTTACCTCTTCATCTTGTCCGCTTCTCCCCCCAGCGCTGCTGGGAAGGAGGGGCTTCGAGGGCTTCGGCCGCTTCGGCGGGGCAGTCCGCAGCTCCGAGCTTCAAAGAGGAGGCGGGAGAGGAGGAGAGTAGGATCCTCGAAGAGGATGAGGAGGAATGGAGAGGGAAGGGGAGGGCAGGAGGAGGGCAGCTGCTGCGGTGCGGTCTGGTCGGCAGCGCGCCGATCTCTCTCTCTTTCTCTCTCTCTCTCTCTCTCTCCCTCTCTCTTTCTCTCTCTGAAGTTCGTTGCTCTTCCGCCATTGGATCACGAAGGGGCTGGCCTCTGCCACTCTTGGACTCGAGCTGGCACCCCCCACTCATCACCCTCCTCCTCCTCCGTCTCCACGTCGTAACTCTGAGCTGGACCTCCCTGGCGCCGTCCTTGGCGCGCTCCGCGTGCCAGGGAGGGGTGGCCAGGGCCGATCCAAGAAATCCGCGTGGACGTCCGAAAGGTTACAGTATGTTGATGCAGATTCTCGTACGGTCAGGAACGTTGGCTTAGCTTGTCGCTCTGCCGGTTGTGGCCCACCACGCTTCGGCGCGACACGCTATCCACGCCACGGTCCACGAGCGCCAACGTCTCATATGTTTCCCGGTCTACCGGCTCGCGGAGCGGAGCGGCACGCTATCCGCTTGCGACGCCAGGGCCGCCACCGCGACGCGCTTTGCCAAAGCCCCTGATCGTGTTTTAATATCGCCGTCCCGCCGCCCAGGAATGCCGCCCGGCGGTGTCAAGGCAGACAGGTCACCAAACACGTCGGTCGTTCAGGGATTTGATCACTTCACCACGTCACTTTCTGTGCTGGCCAGTATCACCCGCGTGATGCCCGCCGCCGACATAGGTTCGGACGCAGGATACGGACATCTTCGCCCTCGGGGGGTGGTGGGGGGTGGTGACAGGCACGGGAGGCTTCGAGGCTCGATCCGCCTCGCCACGGGCCAGTGAGTGCCCTCCCCCTTCCCGCTCTCTTCCTGCTCTCCTCCTTGCTCCCTGTCTCTACTCCTTTTCCTCCTGCCTCTACCCCGCTCATCTCCTGCTCCTCAGCCGCCTTCAATTCAACGGATGGTTCAGCTACTCCTTCTTTTTTCTGTTGCTCCTCCTCCTCCTCCTCACCATCTTCTGCTTGCTGCTCCTCCTCGTCCTCCACACTCGCTGCCATGTGCGTGACCATGGCACGCAAGGACAGTGAGGGAAGAGGTTCGCCGGCTTCCCGCGCGCATCCCAAGGTCGCGAGGTTCGCAGCTCATGCAGCAGCGGCCGCGTCGTGGACGTGTCCGACCGCAACGTGCTGTGCATGTCTCTGCTCGGAGACAAGGCGCGGCCGCTGCCCGCAGCGCTCTTTGGCGCGCGGCTGCCGCTGGCTTTTCTGCTAAGCTTGTCGCAGAGAGCAGTGCTCGCATCCACCTGTCGGTCCTCGGCCCATCTTCCCGGAAGACGCGCGGGCCGCGTTCCGAGCCGCTCATGCCCAGCGACGGGCCCCTCAAGCTGCAGCTAGCGCGCCGGATGAACAAGCAGTGCGGGTCTGCACCGCATGCGGCATGCCGGTGCGCCCGTGCACCCGTTGCTGTCCTCGAATGGCTACCGTGAGGGTGGGACAGAACATGAACATAGCAAACGGAGTGGCCGATGAGCAGAGCCAAACGTCGATGGCTGCGATTATTTACTGTCATGTCTTGCTCGCTAGTCGGGGTATCTATCCTGGCGGTGTGCCACAAGATCGCAGGCTCAGGCAGGTGGACAAGAGACATGCTCTTCTTCACCCCTGTGAGAGGGCGAGCTCCGCATCCTTGCTTTCTCCAGGCAGCCTCACAGGGCATGTAGAACATGCCGACACATTCTACGGCAAATTGTTGTGAGAAGCCAGGCACTGGTATCAAGTAAAGTGCTAAAGAGCGCTGGTGCTCTTGGTGCGCTCATGGGCGCTCTCGGGGCTGTCATGTGCCCTTCTTGGGCCCCTCTTGGGACTCTCTCTGACCATCTTGGAGCCATCTTGAGGCCTCAAGAGCCCATCGGAAGCGAAAAGGCGATATGACATATTACATCGATTCCCTCGTTTTGGAAGCATATTGGCCTCTATAGGGAGTGTCCTTTAGAGGCTCAGTGGCCGCTTGGGGCCGTCTCGGGACAGGCTATCTTGAGTCTTCTTGCGCTATCTTGTTCGATCTTGCAGGCCATATTGAGCTATCTGGGGCCTTTCTGGGGTCATCTTGGGCCATCTTGGACGCCATCTCGTCCAGACCCAGGAAGAGGGGGGCAGGGGGAAAGGTACACCTCTCCCCCAGGGGGAGAAGGAGGTGGGACCAGGCTGGACCTCAAGTGCTTGTAGGTTTTGGAGCCACGTGGGGCTGAATCCCCCCCCTCCCCCCCCTCCGCTGACCCAGGTTTGGGAGCGGCTGGACGGAGTTCGCGGCAGCACCCCGGCTGGCCCGAGTTTGCATTGACCCGGACTAGCGCGTCTTTGATAGCGAAGGGATGGAAACCATGGCGGAGGCCATGATGCCTCCCCAGATGTCATAGCGCCTCTTCTTATTTCGATGCGTCCCTGCCCCCCCCCCCCCCCCCCCTGGGCCGCGCACATGCCGCCAGCCATGATTTTTGCGCTCGCCCCTCTTGGACGCGCCCCCTCTTGGACGTCCCCGACCTGAGAGAGGGGGGCCGGTGGGGGGGGTCCTCGGTATTTGGGCGGCTTGGGCTCGTGTTGCTTCTGGGCGTCGGCCCCCCCTGTTGGGCTCTCTGGGAGCTCCCGGAGGCCTCCGCGGAGGCCCCCAGACCCAGGCATCCAGCGGCTCGAATGTCTTGGGACACGGCCCCCAAACCCGGCAGGGGAATCCACAACAGCAACCTTAGCAGCATTGATTTAGTTATTTTGCTTCGATCGATCCCCGCCCAAGAACGCAAGGGGGACACCCAGGGAGCACCGGGCACACTTTGGGCCTGGCGGCCGCGGCATGCAGTCGTGATCTGTCGAAGGCACGGGACGGGATGCCCAGGGAGCACAGGCTCCATTTGGGCCTCGCGGCCGAAGCATGCAGGGTGTGTGAGGCGGGTCGGGGGCTCTTGTCTGCAAATCTGACAACCGCAATAACCCCAGGGGGAACGCTGGGGATCGACCCTGAACTCCGACCCGGCGACAGGGTCACCACGTCGTGAAAATTCACGACCGTAGCAGCCCCAGACCCCCCTCTCCCTGCTCCACCTTTCGAGCCGGGTGGAAGGGCCCCGGGGCCCGACACCGGCGGCAGGCCACGCCCTGCTCGAAGCCAATGATACGCCACTGGGCGTCGCGCAGTGGGGGAGCGATCGATGGGGGGCAACGGGGGCTGCAGCAAGGGGCCCTCTCGGGCCCCGGAAGAGGCCCTGCAGCAGTGCCCCAGAGGGGGCTTTTCGGGCCAGCAAAGGGGACCTATCTGCAGCGACGCCCGAAAAACGCTCAGATTCGCAGGCCTAGAGGTTGACGCCAACACCATTATTGGCGGTGTGCCTCCACCGAAGGAAGAAGATCCCGATCTCGGCGATGGTGCCAATATTTTGGCTTCCGAGGTGATCGACATACTACCACCAGCACCGAAACCTAGGAGCACCTCCCCCTGTGGAGGCAAACCCCTGTGCTGGTGGTGGTGCCCATTTCCAGGCCTCTAACGGCTCGACGCGAAGGACACGCCAGGATCCCGGGGGAAGCAATGTATGCAGGCCTCTCGCCCCCGGCCCTGCCCGCGGGGGCGGGGGCCGCCGGCACCTGCCCAGGCGGTGCTGGGCAGCGCGGACCACGGGCTCAAGGAGCTCAGCGTCCGCGGCGGCCAGGCCTGGCGCCCGCCGCGGCTCCCCTGGCCAGGGCCCTCGCCACGCAGAGTCAGGGCCGGCCTAAGCGAGGAGGAGGAGGAGAAGGAGGAGGAGGAGGAGGAGGAGGAGGAGGAGGAGGAGGAGGAGGAGGAGAAGAAGGAGGAGGAGGAGGAGGAGGAGCAGCAGGAGGAGGACCCCTCGCAAACCGTACCCTTCCGTGACGTCCCCCGTCGCCTCGCCCCAAGACGTACGTGTGCGGCCGGAGAGCAGCTCGCAAGGCGAGGAGGACGTCACGGAAGGCCGCGCCTGAGAAGGATCGAGGCTCCCGGAGCGCCACGAAGAATCGAGGAGGCCCGCCATCCCTGGCGGTGGCAAGACTCGGAGGACGACGTCGGCGACGGCGACGACGACGACGACAGCGACGACGAGGAGGACACGGGTGCTGAGGGGGTGCAGTGAAGACCCATGCCAATAAACACCCTGCTCGCCTCCAGGGTGCCCTGGAATTCTTGGGCTTCGACGGTCTGTGGAAAGCGTGGCGTTCCCGCGCCAGAAAAATCAAGGGACGTCCTGGGGTCTCAGGGTGAGGTTTCTTCTGGGAGGTTTCTTGTGGTCGGGCCCCTGCTGTAGGGCGGTGAGGACGCAATGGCCAGGGCCGTGAGACCTCCCAGGGTCTATGGCCCCCTCCTCTGCTTTCACTGCGCTCCCTGGGCGGCCCCCCGCGTCCGCGGACATGCCTCGGGCCGCGATGCGCCAACACCCCTCTTCCTGTCAGGCGATCGCAAACACGGATCAAAGGGGGCGTGGATTAGCGACGGGCCCCGTTTCCATGGGAGATCGCGGATTTCCAGCGCCGAACGGGGCGGCACCAGCCGCATTTTGGGGGGGCCCTTCCCCAGATCCATGGATTTGGTGACCGCGCGCCAAATCCATAGATCGCTAATCCATGTTTGCGCGCCCCAGATCCTGACGCCGCCCTGTTCGTCACACCCGAGTTCAGGGATCGAGTCCGTTTGCGCGCTGCTCGCCTTAAGTCGGGCATGTCCCTCTGCAGGAGGAATATGCCAAAATAGTCAACAAGTAGTCTGGGGACGATTTGTCGTCCATGTCTGATGTTTGTTGTAGTGAGGTTTGGCTATGTTCCATTCGTCTTCCAAAATCCGCCTGTAGGGGGACATGCCCGACCTGATGCTCGCCCCCTTTGGGCCGCCGAGAGGCTTCTCGTCACCGCGGCCGGATGATGCTTTGACAGTATTGTCAACACGCGCCCCGAAAGAGATCTGGAGATCGACTCTTCAGAGTCGCCCTGGGAACAGAGCTCTGACAGTGTTGTTCCGCTTTCGGCCTCACGTGGCCTTTCAGGGGATGGAATGGATGCGAGGGGTGGAACGGGGAGGCAGAGGGAGGCGTGTCGAGTATGAAGGATGAAGGGCCACCTGCCTTCCATCCCAAACATCGGTGTCTGGGTCGTGGCCTGTTTTTCGAGCCGCAAGTGCATACGAGGGTGCTGTTCGGCTCCATCTTCTTGTCTCTTTCGGTGAGCGATCGCAAGTGCGATCCCGATCAACGAACAACTGTCAGCGACCGCAATCATGACAACCACGCTGGTATTGTAATTTGCAGAAGTGCGCAATGGTATCATCGTAGACGTGGTCCCGCCAGCTCACGCTCCCACTGCCATGACATTGGCCCTCCCGCCTGCAATAGGTACGTGTCGTATCGACGCGACGGCGACTCCAGGCATCAGGCGGCTCGGAAAAAATCGAGACCGCAGATTACTCTGAATTTTCGGCCTTTGGAAGTCGAATTCTGGCCCCAGGACCGTCAACAAACGACTCGGGATGAAAACATGGTCCCAGGGAAGTGGTTGAGAGGTCATGGGGCCCACGTCTGGAAAACATCGAACCGCCGGATGTCTGGGACCACAGCGCTGACAATCAAGGTTGAACGTTGCCGCGGTCCCAGAATTGGCCGATACCGAAGGATAATGCGCCGAAGAGTGGGGAGAGGATTTTTTTGGGGGGATCTCATGGCTGCGGCAATGAGGTTTCCCAGATTTCGCGAACCCCCCCCCCTCTGCTTCTTTCAATGCGCCCCCCTGGCCCCCATCGCCAGCGCGCAGGCCACGGGCTGTGATGCCAACAACCCTCTGCGTGGCCCTGTTCTTCGGCGCATCCGGCTGGTCGGCACGCCGCGACTGCTTCAGCGCGAACGATCTACGGGGTGTCAGAAACCGCTGCGCACGTCTTCACGAAGCGCACCTGCCGTGCTGGTCCGCGAGCCTGCCGGAAGTCCTGCGGCAGCGCAAAGCTTGCGCTGCAGGTGCTGAGAAACCTCTACACGAAGAGGTACGGGCACACGGAGTGGGTCACTTCCGTGTCGCACTGCCCTGGGCTCAGAGGGCGAACCTCGGCCTGCTCGTTGGAACCCGCCCTCATTCCATTCCGTTTTCCGATGATTTTTGGTTGGTAAGTATGTATCCTCAGTTGGTCCCTCGTATAAGTTGTGTCCTCGACTGGATGAGTCAGGTACAGGGGGGGCCCATGACAAGAAACACCCTGTGTTTCATCAGAGTTCCCTTGGTTTCTTTGGCTGGCTTTCGGCGCGGAAGGTCGCCGCAATTAGAAACTGCACGTGCCAGGGCACCCTGGGTTTCTTGGGCATCGGTCAGTTTCGGGGCGCGCGCCAGAACATCCAAGAAACTTCAGGGCATTCGGGGTACTTTGGGTTTCTTCGCCCTCCACTCGGGTTGTTCGTCCCGCGTTGCCCATCCACTCGCGGGGTTTCGCCAGTCTGTCAAGCGGGCGCTGGCGCATTTCGCGGCGCATGCCCGGAAGCCCAAGACACGGACAAGCATTCACGATATCTTGGGTTGCTTCGCCCGCCACTCCGTCTGCTCCTCCCGCGCGTCGCTTGCTTGCTGGGCTGTTCAGTTTGGCATAGGGGGCCCTGGCGCATTCTGGGCTCATGCCCGAGAGCCCAAGGAACTGACATGCATTCAGGGTACCTTGGGTTTCTTGGCCTTCCACCCCGTCTTTTGTCACATGCAGAGCGCGCGCTCGCGGGGGTTTGCCAGTCTGTCAAGTGGGCGCTGGCGCATTTCGGGGTACATGCCCAAAAGCCCAAGGAACGGACAAGCATTCAGGATACCTTTGGTTTCATCGCCCGCCATTTCATTTGTTCCTCCCGCGCAGCGCATTGAGGGTTCCCTGGATTTCTTCGCCCCACTGGCCTGAGTCAAAGGGGCAAAAAGGTTTCTTTCCGAGAGGAGAAGTCGTCGCCTTGCTTTTTATGCAAGGCCCGAAGCTCGCATGTTCGATCGCCTTGGATCTCTTGATGTCAATTGCTTGACCTCAGCAGTCAAGAAGTCTCGGGTCAGGGTGCCCTGGGTTTCTTCGTTTGCAGCCGAAGCGCAAGAAACCCAACCCTGGACCAAGAAACCTCGGCGGATTTCAGGGTTGGGTTTCCTGTGGTGGGTATCTTGTGTATCGGCCCCCACTGCATTCAAGCCTATGGGCGCAGAGGCCGTGTTTTAATCGGACAAGCGCCCAGATATTTGCCAAGGGACCCGACACCATGACCATGACCCCAGAATAATCATCATAATTCGGACATCGCACATTTCGCTGCCATACCTGCAGCAAGCCAGGCATACTATGCACGCGCATTATTGTATGTACGGTTGTCCCTCCAAACGGCATGTGCTGATTATGGGTGGTGTATTGCGCGCGTGTTTGCCGGAACTGAGCGACTCCGGTTGTAATACGCCTACTTGCGGCGACATATCGGTGTATTGCTCCTACCTTTGGTCCTCGCATGCGCGATTTGGTCATGTGGCCCTCGTCTGGCATATGTCTTTTGTGATGTGTGGTTGCACTGTTTCTCTATTTCTCTCTTTTTCTTCCTCTCTCCCTCACTATATATATATATATATGTATTTCTCTCTTTATCTTTTTGTTTTCTCTCTCTCTCTCTTTCTCTTTATGTTCGTATTTGTGTTGTTTTGTGTTCTCTCTCTCTCTCTCTCTATTTCTCTCGCGGTGTCATTGTTGGTTGTTTTTCTCCCTCTCTCCATGGGGGGAGGAGGAAGGGAAGGGCCCATGCATTAGCTCTCGACTCCCCCCCATCCCCATCTTCTAGACCCCCCGCTCCCCTCCCCTTCCCTCCTCCCCCCTTCGCGCTCTCTCCTCCACTCTCCCCCTCCTCTGCCCGTCCATTCCCGCTCCCTCCCCAACCCCTCCCCCGCACATCCGCAATCCACCACTCGCCCCGTTTCCCATCCCCCCCCCCCTTTTCCCCCGTCCCTCGCTCGCTTCCTTCTCGCCTTTCTCCTTTCGCTCCCACGGTGCTCCCTCTCGCCGCCCCTTCCCCCTCGCGTTTCCCTCTCGCCCCTTCCGTCTCGCTGTTGTTCCCTCTCGCCGCCCCCGTACCCCACCTTTGCGGTTTCTTTTTTCCCTTCTTGCCCCTCCTCCTCGCGCCTTCCTCCTCCTCGCTGCTCCATCCCTCCCCCCCGTGCTCGCCTCCACTCGCCACCCAGCCTTCCGCCCCACCGTCCCTCCGCATACGCCACCCCATCCATACCCTTCCTCTCTCCGCACCTTCGGACGGGGCGGGTGAGAGCAAGGGATGAGAGGAGATGGGAGCAGGGCGTGGAGAAGACGGCATGGGGCGAGGGATGAGAGGAGATGGGAAAGGAAAGTTCCTTCTCACATCTCCGCTCATCCCCCGCCCCATGCCCTTAGTACCCTGCCCCCCCTCTCCTCCCGAACTTCCCCTCCCTCCCCCCTCTCATTACCTCTTGCCGCGATCCCCGCCTTCACAAATACTCAATCGGAATATTGCTTGTTTCTCTTCCCGGACTCTGTGCGAAAGATGCCCCGCCCTCTCCGTGTATTGTTTTTTGTTGCACAGTGGATGCCATGTTTTGCAGTTGATTATGCTTCGCCGCAGTCGGAACATTCTCGGTGTTTCAGAATGTTATTCCCGCTGCAGCTTGGGCCTCATTTTAGGAGAGGTTGCTTTGCTCCAGCTGTTCAGAATGGTGCTTTCGCTTCCGTGCAGGCCGCATTTCACGACACGAGTTCTTCGTCATCTTTGTTGCCCCCCTACTTCAGCGTTCTCCGCCTTCCCCAAATACTTCTGCTCCTCCCGCTCCTTCCACTCCATCTCTTGTTGCTGCTGTTCCTCCGCGCCCTCCTCCTGCCTGATCCTCATCCTTGTCATCCTGCCCATCCTCCTTCTCATCCGCCACCTTCTCCAATGTGCGCTTCTCCCCCTTCCCGATTGCGCATAACACGACGGGCTTCTTGTCGGAGTTCTAGGTCCGCTATGACACGCGTCGCTGGATAGGGATAGCCTGAGCGCAATGAGAGGAGATGGGTGGGAGAAGTAGGATGTCAGACATGGCGCGAGCGCACCGAGCTTGGCTCCCCCCTCTCCCTCTGCTCGCCTTCCCCTCCCCTCCCCCTGCTCGCCTTCCCCTCTCCCTCTCCTTCCCCTCCCTCGCTCCCTCCCGCTGATCTGGTGCCCAGGGAGTGCCCCCCCGTCCCCGTCATCTTCCCCCGTCGCCGCGCCCGCGCTCCCCGCCCCGACCCGGATTCCCGATGCCTTGATGTGTCCTACGCACCGGGTCTCTGGAAGCCTCGATCCGCTCTCCTCCGTAAGAGGGACCCTTCGCCGGAGTGACCTTTGGTGCGGGCCCCTTGGGG